ACAGCGGACATAATGCAAAAGGAGGATATTGGCAAACACGGCATGATAAGTAAAAAGATCTTCATCTTCCTCTCTCATTCTGGTCTAAACAAATCAGCATAATGGTAACCTTAGTACTTGGAACGAGATACGAGATACTACTGTAGTGGGGCCTTTTGAAAAGGGAATCACAAACACACATATAAGCACAAACTCTTTGTGGCACCGTGCTGTACAATAATAATAAAATAAAACCACATCCTTCCATCACAGCAAAGAAGAAAGGCAGAAAGACACTCCCAAGAGTGACACATGTGAGCTAATACTGCATATGACAATGACAGGAAATTAATGTATTCATGTGCAAAACTCACTCATCTGTGTGTCTTCTCCTTCCAAACAACCTTCAATTTGTCCACTGATATTTCTGAGTGTGTATCCATCCTTCCCACTATCCAGACTAGTGGTCGATATTGACCAATGTGGTTTATTTTTTGTTCCTCTCAACCCTGTGGTTAGGATAGTAATGCAGGACCTGTATTTTAAATCTAACATCATGTTTACTGCAGCTGGGAGGAACTGTGGTCATTTGATTGTTTTGTCAAATATCGCCATTTCTGTTTCTTGTGTATCGTCCCCATTTTTTCATAATCATTGCACTTTCAAATTATTGGGTTGATTCTTAACTGATCCCTATAATGTGAAACCACCTGAAAAATGACCTTTGATCCAAATCCTAAGTATAATGAACCTATGTAAACCATCATAAAATAATACCTGAAAATTCAGTCTTTTGTCACTTCTAGAATTTCATATAAAGCTTCATAGCCAACAAGCACTTTTATATTTTATCATAATAGCAATGATCTGATCACTCTACACATAAAGCATAACCCAGTGACATTTATTAATAATAGTTTTTTTTGCCTTGTGGTTAAATGACCACAACATCCCCCTTTTTCTATATGCTATATAAATAAATACTGCCTACATTATATGCAATATCCTGAAACTACTTTAGGGAACTGATATATAATGAAAATGCTGTGGAAAGTTTCTAAAATATTCTGCGATATATAAAATAAAATCAGTTAAGTACCAGTTGGGACACATCCACGTATTCTTCTCTTGTTTCTATATTCCTTATTTTAAATTTAGAGTAAAGTGGTCAACAAACTTGAAATAACACAAATGGAAGGATACTGATTTTGTTTTGACAAAAACATATTATTTTAGCTTCTGCAAAGTAGCCACTCTTGCATAGATCACAGCAGTGCAAACACTAGGCATTCTCTCAACCAACTTTATGAGATGTCACCTTTAAAGAATATATGGAGTAATGGATTAGGCTAAAAGCATGCAACCAGGCAGACAACTTAAGGACATTTATATGGCTTTTGTTTGTGTTCTGTTTGCTTCTTTCACAACCATTGTGGCTCCAGATCAGCTCGCAGACTCAAGTTGCAGGAATAATCAGGCTCATAACAGACTCTCGCTGCTTGCTTAACTGATCGTTTAGCAATGATATTTTTGGAGTTCGTTCACTGTTTTGCATCCCAGTGACTGACCCTTCATGAGTGTCATGAATTACATACCTAAATATTAATCTCTAGATTTATATAGATTCAACCTTTAGATGTGTATTCATGTTTAGTAGAAAATTTGAAATAATGTTTTTGAAAGAAATCCCTTATGCTCACCATTTATTTGATAAAAACAGTAATATTGTGAAATATTACATTTAAAGTACCAGCCATTACTCCTTCAGTGGCACAGTCTTCAGTGTCACATGATCCTTCAGAAATCATTGCTCAAGAAACATTTCTTATTATTATCAATGTTGAAAACAGTTGTGCTGCTTAATTTTTGTAAAAGCTATGATTTTCACTTTTTGTAACATAATTATCTTTACTGCCAGACTTTATCAATTTGTGTCCTTAATTAATAAAATGTTAATTTCTTCTTCTTCTTCTTCTTTTTTATAACTTTCCTACCCAAAACTTCTGTAGTGTAGTTTATTGTGGTAGTGTATGTAAATAAAAATTTGTGCAGTACATACATATTGAAGAAAATTAACAGAATAAAAATATACAAAAAATAGTATACAGAAATAAAAATAAAACATTTTAGTATATATATAATGCAAAAAAAAGACTACAAATAAAAATTTGCCTATAGAAATCTTAGTCTTAGTAAATAATCATAGTAAAATAAGTCAGCTGTGTTTAAACATAATGACTAAAGGCTGACTTGTCACTTCTGTTTTCAGATACAACCATCAAGTTGCAAATGAATTTCAAGAGATTCTGACATGGCAGATCTGCTTGTGTTTATTTAGCCACTTCATTTGAGTTACCTTACCCTGTCTGGTTGTGTATTTTGTTCTCACAGACCCACAGGCACAGTAAAAATGCATAGGAAAATGATGTGTTCTCATTCAAATGAGTCAGTGCAGTGGCTTTCAACAAAGGCAGCTCAGCAGCGAGGTTTGATGGTGTAAATGTGTGTATGTGCTGTTATCTGTAGGGTAAGGGGCTTCAGGGGGACCCAGAGCTCTATTATCTCGTATAGGACAGGAGGCCTCTCATCGGTCTAACCACACTGATAACTGCTCTCCAGAACATAATCACCTACTGAACACCGGCCTTTTGAGAATCGCACACTCACACTGAATTGAGTTTATTTGTTTCACAGGAGATGTATTGCATGAAATTAGAGCTCTGAGTGTAACTGTAGACACTGTATATTCCACTTCAGCTCACTTAACACCCTTGATACTGTTTGCAAATGGTGTTCAACACACCTTAGCTTTCTATATCATAACATATAATCATTTATCATACTTTATACATTAAAAGCATTAATTATATTTCAACGACATTTATTTAAATTTAATTTCAACATTATTTAACTAAAATTCTATATATATCATTTTAGTTTTAAAATGCCCTCATAAACAAATATCAGCGTGAACAGTCATCAGAAGAATATTTTTGGATAAAGGTTTTTTTCCCCTCTCCAAATGGCTCACTAGAATTAAAATAGGTGATATGATAAATAAAGTGTTTTGATACCAGAATTTCATTTAGTGTGTTTATCCGCATTGCTACTATTATTTTGGTTGAGTTTAACATGCTGAACTGCAATGACTCAAAAGTACTTTCAAATTTTTGGACTCAAATTTAAACTCCACCCACAATCACAACTGTCAGGGTCTTAAAACGTTTATCACTGATAGAGAGAAAAAGAGAGGGAGAAAGAGAGGGGGGAAGAAAGAGAGGGAAAGGGTAACTAGCATTAATGCCACTGTGAACCTTTTTTGTAAATATCTTTAACACTAATTTCTGGGTTCCTGCCCTTTACCTATTGCACATCTAAGACTCTTTTTGGACAAATACAAAAGACGACACATTTATTTGCCTCTTTTGGGGACATTAGAAAGATATTTCGATAATAAATGCTAAAAGCACCAAACGAATGGCTGTGACTCAAGCCGTACTGCCTTCGTTTTCAAACTTCTGCAACGCCTCCGAAAACATGAAGGTATGTTTGTTTCAGATATTTTATCTCACCAAACTTGGTTTATTTACTGTTTTTTTATGGTAATTACAACTGTAACTGTTCATTTTGATAGTGACTTTAATCTTATGATATTATCTTCCATTATGACAGCTGACTAGTTGCATAACAAACATGATTGTCATTTCTCCAAGAAATCCCCTAAAAGAGAAAAAAACTGAAGGGAGATGCTGTGGTTTAGAAACTAACATATTTAGAAATTCACATATTTAATTCCAAATGGTTAATCAAGAAATGTCAACATCAATTTTTAAATATTTGATTATTCCAAAGGCTTGGAAGTTTGAAAAAGGCTTCTTGGATCTGGACTCCAAGGATCTACACCAAAGCACTGGCAGCTATAAATCTTCTCAGTTTCTGTCAAATGAAAAGCATGATGACAGTGAGGGATGCTGGGATATGGAGTTCCTGCTGTCTGACTGGGGCGGCGCATCACCTGGACGGTCCAACTCTCAAAACTACACTTCCCAGCGGCCGCCGATGCAGGACCAGGTTCACAGTCCTGATCTTTACCAGTTCCAGGAGTCAAGATCAAACAGACACCAAGTGACCATTACAGGTTCTCTGGCTGAGCTGCTTCCTCATGAAGCAACTTTAAGTTCCTCATTGTCTGACCTTTTTAATGGAGGATATTTGGAGCAGCAGCAGCAAGTGGCAAAATCGTTCTCACAAGCAGAAAACCCCCATCAGTTCAGTAGTTTCCCTATTGCTAATGACATCAACAGAGAAAATGAGAGAAACAGCATGGGGAAGATGAAGTCGTGGGATTTTGGACACTATCCTCAGCCTGCACCTTTGATACCCTTCCCTTCCCAGACGTCTGGGATTGCCATGGACGCACTGGTGTTTCCTCCACACCATCACTATAACTTCATCCAAAACTACTCACAGCCCAGACTCTACCAACCGCAAGTGAGCTACGTGCACAGGCAGCCGGCCAGCCACTATCCGTCCACACAGAGCATGGTGCCCGACTCCACAGTGCCCCCTCCAGGTCTGGGAGGGAAGCGCGTGCGGAGGGGGGTGTTGAAGAGGAAAGCCACGGTTCACAGTTGTGAATACCCAGGCTGCCATAAGACTTACACCAAGAGCTCTCATCTCAAAGCACACCTCCGAACACACACAGGTAATATGAAAACACACTTTCACTTTTTATGTCCATGTTTAGGGTCAGAATATTACAGAATGGCATATTTTAACTGCAAATCTGTAACAACAAATCCTATAAAAATTCATTTCAAATAATGAAAATAGAATAGAATAGAATTTCAAATAGAAAATAGTCTCGCTATGAATCTGGCCGACAACTATAAGGTCATACTAGATCATTTTATTTATTAATTTATTTCTATGATAATATTTACTGTTATTATTAATTAGCTTTAATTTTACATTTTCGGTTTTACTGATTAGTATTAGTAATTATTTTATTTTTGTTTATA